CTGCTGTTCCAGCCATCCCTACCTTTGCCACCCCCTTTCCTTCGCTGCCATCATCTAGAAAACAACAAGCTTGCTGTTTTTCTGCTCTTTCAGCAGCCTGCTGTCCCTACCAATTCACTTTGCTGACCACTACCACCTCTGGATCTAATCCTAGGGTGAATTTGTGTTGTTGTTTGTTGCAATTTCAGATTTATGTTTGTTTGTTGTAATTTTCTATTGGAAGTTGGTAATAATATTTATTTTTTCATTGTTATTTGGTTTAATAAGTTGGTTTGATCAAATTATTAAAAGGTGTGAACGATTTAGATATTTTGGGTCCGTTGTCCAAAGCGATGGTGATATAGATGGGGATGTTAATAGTAGAATTCAAGTTGGTTGGTTGAAGTGGAGGAATGCTTCGGGCATTTTGTGTGTTAGAAAAGTACCGCTAAGACTGAAAGGAAAATTTTATAAGACGGTGGTGAGACCTGCAATGCTCTATGGCGTTGAATGTTGGCCTTTAAAAGAGAAGCATAATAATAATTTAAGTGTTGCCGAGATGAGAATGATTAGGTGGATGAGTGGCTTTACACTACAAAATGCGGAATGAATATATTCGTGATAGGGTTGGTGTAGCTCCTGTGACAGACAAAATTAGAGAAAGTCGTCTTAGATGGTTTGGTCATATTAAACGTCGACCATTAGATGATCCGATTAGGAGAGTAGATGTTTTAAATTCGACTTGTGTTAAGAAAGGCAGAGGTAGACCTAGGAAGATTTGGGCTTATTGTATTAAAAATGATCTTAATTTACTAGAACTTAATGAAAATATGACACTAAATAGGACGCAATGGAGAAAAAGGATTCATGTAGCCGAACCCACATAGTGGGATTAAGGCTTTGTTGTTGTTGTTGTTGTTGTTGTAGAGTAGTACACAAATCGGAGGACCTCATGATTAATCGAAATTGAATCTAGAATCTTCTGAATGATTGCAATTCGTAGGTGGTTAGAGCTGACTGATTGGGTGGCATTTAGGAGACTTTCACTGTCTCTCACACAGCAACTTCCGTGCACAAGCTGCTTGTGAAGAAAGGGAAGCTATCTGAGTGAATGTAAACCATGCTTCGATTCATGCAATTTTGATCACGTTGGATTTGCATAATTGAAATGCTTGTTCTATGCAAAAAATCTGCTAAAATTAAAATCCATATGGCTAATAAAATAATTTCGAAGTTCTTGAATCTACTTTTAAGCTGTTTTTTTTATTTGAATGAATATTTTTGATCTGGCTGATTTTGCAAGCCATATCTATAACCCTTTTTTGAAACCTAAGACAGCTGCGAACATGGGCCTAAGTTTTATGTCTTGAACACTTGTGTTTTTGCTAATCTGATGGTTTCAAGAACTAGTTTGCCCAAAATAAAAAATTTGATTTGAATCATTCTCTTTAAATGAGAGTTAATGAAGGGGTTGCTTCTCACAGGACTTGAACTTGTTTTAAAGTCATCATTTATTTGGGGTTATGTGAATGAACATCATTTCATATTGCACTGGTGAAACTTGATCTTGCAGTTTTCTATTGGAGTTTATGAAAGCTTATTTGTCATCTCACATCTCATTATGAGATTTTGCTTTAATTTTACTATCTTGAATTTCAGTGCTTTGAATGGATTTGCTGGAGCTGATGCTAGGAGGAGAATGTCTTCAGAGCAAGGACCTACAGTGGTTCATCAAAAGCCGGGGCCGCTACAAACCATATTCGATCTTCTTCCAGATGAGGTAAGTTCCATTCTTGCATGTGTGGTTTGATGATTGGTTGGCTCTAATGTGTTTAAATTTATTTCAGGCTGTAGAGCATAGTTACTCATGTGCGCTTGAGAGGTCTTTTCTGTATCATGGGCGGATGTATGTCTCTTCATGGCATGTTTGCTTCCATTCAAATGTATTTTCTAAGCAAATTAAGGTGAGCTACCTATCACTTTTTTATTATCTTGCAGTACTCTATTAACTTTTCCTTGAGTAATAAATACCCAAAAATTACTTTGATCTATATATTATATATATGTGTGTGTGTTTACCGTCATTTGAAACTTTATTGCTGTTTTCTTTTCGAATATTTGTTTTGTTGTTTTAATAAATGTTGAGAGCACACACTCTTCTGAAAATTTGATTGATTAATATCTTATTTAGTTTTAATTAGCTTATTCAATCTTTCAAGAAACTCAGTCTTTATAAGAGAAACACCTCTGGAGCCTGTAATGCTTATTATATGTGAGTCTAAGTAACATGATGAATCGATATGCAGTTGTTATTTTAATTGTTGATTACGCTGTTTAATTTTATGATCCATAACTCGAAGTTGCAATATCAACTATCCGATGCCAAAGATCAAGGGCTATGTAATCTGGGTTTATTTATGTTGAACATAAGGTACTGACGACACATCTAAAGACTGTGCTATGATGGATATGCACCAACATGAGACGCAGGCGTGTATGGCATTCATTGTATGGCACAACATGAATGCAGGGACATGACATAACTGTTGAAAGCAATATACAACATGCTACGGATGCTGTGTTTTTTCTATATTGTTACTATAAAATGCATAAGAAAATGCCTACTGCTCTAATTTACTGTTAAAAATCATTACATAATGAAGTATGATGCCATATTTATCATATAAAAAGTTTTAATGATCAACAAAAGATAAACCAGCATTTGCATATCAAGCATATTTCGTCCTCAATATCACAGTATAATTAATATTAATCTTTAGACTTCATTTCAGCATTGGTCTTTAAACAAAATACCAAGAACCCATACCTAGATAAGATAATATTTAAAATGCTTGTTAAAATATGATATATTGATGTTTGGCGAAATGGAAGAGAGGCTAAGAGTAGGTGACTATATATAGGCATATAGGTCAAGCAAAAATAGAAGAAAATAAAGGGGCTGATATCATTAAATATAAAACATAAGTCACTTCAGAACTTTAGTACTTGCTAAAGACTAATTTTCAGCACAGTTATTTTCCTACGATAATACACATCCTCAAGCTTGATCTTGTACGTCAGAAAAGTTTCAGCTTGTTAGAAAAATTGGAAAAATGAGAAGTTCTCATAAATTTGTTAGAATTATTAATCAATTGCTCTTCGCTAAAGATGCCAAGGGTAATGATTTTCTTTGCTAAGATTATGTCTTTGATGAAGTGACAATCTACTTAATTTATTCGGTTTATTCATGGATGATGGAATTGTTTGAATGAGGGAGGGTTGCATGATTATCACAATTAAGTATTATGGATTGTGTGATAGCAAAGCTTGGTTCTTTAACAAGAGTTTTGATTGGCATCATTTTGATTGATAACTCTATGTTCAACCTTAGTTCTCAAACCAGCTACAGTCATTTACATCTCACTTTTCCAGGATACAAGATTTCCACTCTTAATGATAGTATCCTAAGATATATTTCTAATCCTTAATAAATCAGACATACTTTGCATTTGAAAAGGCGTCAACCCTTAAATGATTATCTTTCTCATAGATTAGTTCTTTTCTTGTTGTTAATAATAAAATAATTTTCTATGTGATCTTGACCTCGGTTTGAGTTAGATTTTCCCTAGTGACCCACAGTCAAAGGGAAAGTAAATAAAATGAGTCTTCGGCCAACACTACCTAATGTTATTAGGAAATGAATGCTCAGAGTATATACAAGAAAAAATTGTAATTGAAAGAGAACAAGATATAAAAGTTATAAAGTGGTTTGAAAATTTTGCCTACGTCCACTATCCAAAAGGTCCATTATTTTCTACACTAAGATTTTGAGTGAAAGACCCATTTTACAATCACTCTCCTTTGACTTTTTTGTTAACGAGTCTATTAGTTATCTTAAGGTTGCGGAGAGAGCGGAGAACATGGAGGGAATCATTCCTTACTGTGTTATCATAGGTGTTTTTTTAAATAGTCAATTATAATCTCGCTGAAATAACTTGTTTGATGAGAAATCGAGCAAATCGAAAGTTGAAAATAGTTTCAACCTACCTTTCTACAACACCAATTCAGATTTGATTAGGACCACCTTTTCTATAGAATCCATTTAGGTACGATGTGTGCCAGTTGGATGGCCATGATTTAGTGTGAGATTGAAGAATCACTTATCTTTTTTTTATTATTTTTTATTTTTTTGCTCAATGGGAGCTTTTTATAAGATTTCATTGGCATGTTTATTGACATGTACAGCTCTTCAAGAATTCTTCTCAACCATAACATCTCACATACTTCTTTAGCCAAGTCTTATATTCTCTTCAGCACTACTCTTTGCGGCCACATTCTGTTTTTTATTTCACCATATGACTTAATTTCCCCACATATGGGTGCAGCATCCAGACATTGATCTGCTATCAATAATTGAGCTTACCGAATTTGGATCAGTATATGTCTCTATGTTCTATTATGTGCTTTTCTAAAAGAGTAAGCCATTACCTGGTGTATTTTTTAAATATATGAGAATTCTATTGAATTTTTCAAGGTGTTTCTTGTAGGGCGAATGCATAAATTGACTTACCAAACTCATAACAAAGGCAATATCTAGCTGTGTATGCAATAAGTATATTAATTTCCCCACCAATTTTCGATACTTAAGTGTATTTATTGGATCACCTTCCTTCTCATCTCCCATATTCTGATTGGGATCAATAGGATTGTTTGTAGGTCTACATCCACTCAACACAGTTTTTTTGAGATGATCAAGCACATACTTCTGCTAGGAGTCAACAATTCATTTCTTTGATTGAGGAATCTTCATACCAAGGATATATGTCGGCGTTTAAAAGGGGGAAGTTGCGTTTGGGGGTCGCCCGTAAGAAGCTGTCGGCCGCCGGAATCGAAATCCCGTCGCCCGCTTCGGAAGGACTTTTTTTTTTAATTTACATATATATATATAATTTTAGAAAAATATGGAATCAAACTGACCTCATATTTTTCACAGTTTAAATGAAAGAGCGCTCTACCTCAAATCCTGTATCTATCCCGAGGGATAAACACAAGACTTGAGGGTGAGGCTCAATCAAATAAACTAAGAAAGATATGACATCCGTTTGGGTCTGCGAAACCATTTTATTTGCCGACAAGTTCCCCTATTTAATACAAAGAATTAAATAGGGTTTATTTTAAGCTGGGTTCGGAAAAGCTCCCTATAAGGGCAAGCCCCTATAGTTAATTACATCTTAAATGACCGAAGTCACCTAAGAAAACTCTCGATAAAAA